TGTATATGAATATCGTTTATAAGCATTTTATAATTATACAGATGATGATAATAATAATGATAATAATAATCATAACAATTATAATAGTAATCATTGCCATAACTGCAATATAAACGTATATTATGAAAATAAGTCATCGAACATTTCATATTCTTCGTTATTTCTGTTGCTCAGCCATGCTCCCTGTTCCATGGCTTGGAACATTAATATCGATATGCGCAACATGACACAAGCAAAGCAAACCATAACGTGACTAGGCAATAAAGTTCTAAATTATAAAAAAAAAAAACCATAACGTGACTTTACATCGGTAAACTAGTCCCAAAATAAAATCATTGGTCGATTGAGTAACACCGAGTATCTGACAAGGGTTCACAGCAGATTGCGACCAAACAGTCTATTACTATGTTTTAGTCAAATACAACAAAGACTGTAGGCAACAAAGCTTTTCATGACAAGAGATATAACTCCCCAAAGCACTTATCTTCTCTTAAAATTATAATCCCTCGTCTCGACTACACCGATATTGGTTATTGTTTAATATGCCATATATCGGTTACTTTTATTTTATCGGTAAGCTTTCAGTAATGGTTTATGGGTGCTGGCTGATGGCATTGTAGAGTGTTTATAACAGAAATCTAGTGTCAACATGGAAAAGTCTTCATGTATGCCACATTACCATTGTCCGTTACTTGATAGTATACGTTTTCCTGACAGGTTTATCCTAACAATAAATATCTCGAGAGTGCCATCTTTTTTTTTATTCTACTAATCCTTTTATTTACCTGCCTCGATTTAATAGCGCCTTTCCTAGTTAGTAGGAATACCAATGGCAAGGCGATTCATCAATGTAAGCTATAATTGGACAGAAGCTGCCTACATGCTTTCACCATTTTGCTAATTATATTTGAATAAATCAACGCGTAGTGTCATCACTCGTCATCCTCCCTAGTTATTGGAGGTGGCGATTTATATTGTAAGTAAATAATATACTTCATTGATACTGTATATACGATCTGTTATTTTCATCCTAACCCTTTAATTTATTTTCATCATCAGACGCAAAATGCTCAGTAAGCAGTCTGAAAAAGATATAGAAAAAAAAAGGGTATGTAAAATATATTTACCACCAATCTTTCGTGGCCATTTATACATCATCGCGTGTTTTAGCTGTTATTGTAACAACCGTATTATTTGTTCACTCAAATAGCACCAAAGATATTAAACCCAGACAATCTTTGGTGCCTCGCGAAGAAACAATACGTCGCGTCGTGTAAGAAGGTTCTGGAGAATATTATTGAGCGTCCTCCATGAATTGGTAAATATATCACATATTTTCTCATATGCTTTTCGAGATTATAATAGTCGTGACAGAAGCTGCCTACGCGATTTTACTCATTTTATATGTTATAATAATCGTAGATGAATTTTTCTTATCTTCAGATAAACAGTGCAGCGGAGCGGCTACCATAATGGAACTGCAACGGTACGGAAGGGACTTCAAACACTTGTCGGTCTCTAGGTGATTACATCTAATGAAGACGGAGTGGTGGGGGAACCAACAGAATAATTTTTAAGTCTAGAATGTCAACTTGTTGTTTGTACTGACACATATAAATAAACTTTCGCTCTTCATTATATAAATTGTTTTCTACCAATGTAGTTTTGAAAATGTATATTCGGAAAAAAAGTCATACGATGCTAGATTGATGACGCACATTATTTAGATTACCTCCACAGAACCGATCAATGCAACGTACGTTAGTCGACATAAAATATACCGGCCAACTTTTGGGTCTTGATACAATTACTCCTGTGAATATTCCTCATGTCTACCACCATCACCCTAACACCTTACCGTTTCACTCTCGTGATATGAAGTGATAAATATTAGGAAGAATAAAAAGTAAAGGTGGAGATTTCTATAGTTGTTCACTTTACAGGGGTCTGGTTCATTTCCCTAAAGGTCTATTTAAATATATTGTATATTGCGATCGAACTTCAGGTATGTAGGTCACGTTGAACCTGATTTTGTCCCTTTTATAATTTTAAAGACACTTGCATGTTACTACAGACAACGAGCAATGGTGTATTTTCAATATGTTCTTGTGAGATGTTCTCGAGAAAATTGCGAATCGTCGTCACGGCAGGGATATTGTAAACGTGTATAAATATCATCTGACATGTTAATCAAGTGCAAGAGGTAAGTGTTAAGTGTTTTGATTGGTGCTGTATGATTGTATCGTGTGCAAATTGAATCGACTAGAAGCAAGTGCGTGTAAGAATCATTTAACTAACCGTATCGCAGGGTGCAGACAATTTGGAAAGAAACAATAAACCTGAGAAACGTCACAACATTATCAATGTCGAAATTTTATTTTAGACAATGTTCATAAACGAACCACAAGTCTTTATTATGAATTCCCAAAATACCACATGATGGTTGATGCATCAAACTAAAGTGATATAAAACCTTATACTAATTCTGCACTAACATATTCTTCGCTGAGAGTGCTTGTAAGATTTGACTATTCACATCGCAACCTATTCGTAATAACCTTATAAATCGCTTATCGTATATAACTCTTAATACAAAATCATTACTGCTACTTAAATTATCGTCTGCGTTGATTCTCACGTAAAATGAGATTGCGCAAACGCCACGATGAGGCTCGTCCTTGCCGAACAGCCGTTCGAAACAATTCCGTTACTTTCTGTGAGTCCAGGTAACGCAGTTCAATCGCGTATGGTTCTATAGGACCTTGGTCTATTACTTCACGAAAAAGTTGGTAGGCCTTTTCGTAGTCTTTTGCTACCCCGATGCCATACTCATAACATCTCGCCAAGCTGAGACGCGCATATGTCACTCCTTGGGCCGCTGCTTTTTTATATAATTCAACTGCCTTTCGACAGTCTTGATCAAGACCATAATGTCCTCTTTCATAACATACACCAAGTCTATATTGCGCTTCAGGGTGGCCCTGTGATGCTGCTAGACTGCATAGTTCAATAGTTTTTTGGATATTCTGTAGCACACCGATTGCGTTAAAATAGAGGACCGAGAGATAGAATTGTGCATTAGAATTTCCTCGCCTAGCCGCGATTTTCAGCAATAAAAATGCTATTAAATCGTTTCTTTCAATGCCCTCGCCATGATAATAGCAGAGGGCAAGATTATGTAACGCGACAAGGTGCCCCCGTTCGGCAGCTCTTCGATAACATCTAGCTGCTTTCTGGTCGTCCCTGCGAACGGATTTGTGACAATCGCCCAAACGACATAGGGCACCAGCATGTCCTTGTTGAGCAGCTCTTCTATAGAGTCTCATCGCTGCTTGGTCATTTCTTCTGACCCCATCTCCAGATTTGTAGCAATCGCCCAAGCGACATAGGGCACCAGCGCGTCCTTGTTGGGCAGCTCTTTGATATCGTTCGAATTCTTGTCTTGAGATAACCATTTCGGATAAGTCGTATGCTATATTGTATGATATGTAGCGCGGGATGTTGTATGTAGTGTGTGGTATGTAGTGTGGTAGGTATGTTGTATGGTACGTGTATTAGTATGTTTGTTGTATTGTATTTCGTATGGTCTGTGGTATATGGGCAGTATGCCGACTCACTATTCTTGTCGGGGGGAACTTGCGTATTTAAGTGAATTCTAGCTATAAAAATTACAATAGAATATTCAGCGATAAACAAATCAGCATTGAGATGACATTATAACTAGAATTGAGTATGCGTCTGGATATAATAGTTACTCTGGCGTAACATATAATAATAGATTTACCTCCAGCAATAGAGGAAAGACATCTGTTCTGATATCAAATGTGCCCCATTAAATTCCCTCTAATACCGCAGGAGTATCGGCGTGCTCATAGTGATAACAAGAGTGATGGAGAGATGCATATTGTTTACTGCGTAAAGCGATTGTTCAGCCGTGGTGTATGACAAAATGGCTCGTTCATGTGATTAGAGCAGTATTAATAGAGTATCCAATGAAAGTATAATAGTATTATAGTAGAAACAAATGTCTGCTTCGTAATTCTTATATTGGTACAACTCTCCCCAATTTTTCACTGATTGTATTGTGGTTTTTCTTATCGTACGCGGTCTGTACGCCTTCCGTGTGTGTGTTTTATAACCGTCAACGCCAGGAGTATATAGTTTGCCGGTGAGAATTCAGTTTGTAAGTATATTAAAGATGCATTGCAAACCCTCTTAGGTGGCCCATTTTGTTTGGCGTATCATCGTAAGACAATAATTCTTTAGTGCAAAATAGGCGGATTTCCGGTATTCTTCCTCAAACCGCTCCGTTATGTCAAAGAAATATCGCTTTCATATGAATATATACTGTATAGTCGGCGGAGAGCTGTGCTTCTAGTATCGGTTGTGTAAAAGGTGAGTAGAAGCTGTATGATATATGCTATTTTGAGAAAGCAGTCTCCTTCGAGGAACTAACAGCTTTCTTCATATCCTTTGAGGGAGCATTATGGACAAGCTCTAAAGATGATGAACTATGATTTGGGCCGTGACTGTAAGCATCGATGTTATCCACGTGACCATATCTGATGGTGAAAAGAAAACACGTGATTTGGAAAGACAAGAGTGAAAGACATTAGGAAACGGCAATTTTACTCGACTGGGATACGCTATATCAGCCTCTAAGCGGCGTAGTAAATATAATCACTGTATTAAATTAGAACTTTGCAGAGACAGTCGCGGTGTAAAAAATCGAAAGAATATCTGTACTAAATGAAACGGAGGCTTCGGTCGAATCTATAATGCGGAATGGCTCGGTCAGTATAACGCTGCCGCACCCAGACGCTATCAGATATGAAGAAGTTGGGTTTCCATAGGAAGAGGGTGAAAGTATGATTTTGAAAATCCAACGCCAATCAACCGGTAAAGGACAACACTAATTCCGGAACAAATGGAGGATCGCCGCCGCTACTTTCTTCTCCACGCGAATGGCATTCATATTTATTATTTCATATTGGGTGTTGTCAAGTTGTATTACAAAATCCTTTGACTACTGAAATGCCAAATTCAGTCAGTTTGGCTAAGGCTGCCTCGGCAGCTTTTTGAGCAGCAAAAGAAGTAGATTCTGCGGTACCACGGCCAAATACGCAACGAAATTCCCGCCTATTGCCAATGCGATATCTCCGAAACACGATAGAATTGCTGGCTTGACATTTCTGTGAAGTACTTGGCTCTATCGTGCAATTGACGGTTAAATGAATAAGAATAATAAGAATGCGTTACACATCAGGAAACGATGGAATGCATACTTTACTATCTGAATGTGAATAGAGGCGAAGGCATTTCGTCGATTATAAGAGCCAACTGATGAGCACCTTAATTGCATTCCCAGGATAAGCAGTACGCACAAAACTATTGTCTCGAGAGGACGATGTGATATACAAAAGCTCAACAAACGTTGGATTATTTTTGACGTAATAAATGACGAGAATTTACTGTAACGAGTACAAGCATTATTCAGAGTGACGGGTCCGATAGCTTGCTGATATGACAGTGCACTAGGCATATGAAGAAGGGTTCCAATATTGAATAACATCTAGATGTTAAAAGACGAGCGGGTTTGGGAATAGCAAGGTGAGGATTTAGCTAGAAAGGGTATAGGGAGAGGTTCATTGAACCTATCTAGATACTGGTGGAAATGAAGAGTGGTAGTTGTGTGTCATAGTTGGTTGCTATATATCAGTGTTTAATAAACCAATACGTACATTTGTAGCTGTGCGCCAAAGACGAAAGTTCTGTAATCGACAGGAAGACGAGTCCCGTTCGCCGATTAATGAGTTAAGCGTAAGCTTTACTTATTAGATCATAAATGAGGCGTAAATATGCCCGCATATACGGTACACGTCATCAATCGTCCCCCATCTAATGTTCCTACGAACACTTTTAAAAGCGATCTTTCCCATGTCAATGCGTATTGTACTATGTTGAGATATAATTAATTCGCGTATTGCACTATTGGACCGCTCATAGTTGGATGTTCCCAATGGCAAATAATGGATAATAAATATAGCTCGTCTATTTCCACGCATACAATGGTTCTAACGAAATCGCGTTAGCACATGTGCACGAAAAGTTTTAAGCTTAATATTATATTAATATTTGTTTCTCCTGCTATGACCAAAACGGGCTTGGCGACAATATATTGTTTGGCTAGCGATTTTGCCATCAGCTTTGTCACTATACTGTAGGTCACACGAAAGAACATGGCCAAGCTACAATAATAGTTAGTGTGCAGCTACTTTAAAAAGTCGATGATACCAGGTTATTCGTTCGCCCAGGATTATTATAATGGAACTGTCTTCGCATTCACTATTGAATATCCTTAGCCTGGGTTTAATTTCTGCAGAATTGATCATTTATTATCATCTGTCAACGTTCTTATTCATTATTCTACAGTTCCTAAGACTGGGCGCCCAAATTATATATAGATATATATATTCGATAAAATCTTATCCACAACGTGCTTCCTTCGGTATTGATCATCAAGGTTTAGCTATAAAAACATGGGCAGCAATTCCAAAGGAAACATCTCTCACAGAATTTAAGCTGTCATCTCTGCTACTGATACTAAGGCAGACATACAAAATATTGTTTGTAATTTATAAATAAATAAATAACCACTTTTATTAATTTGTTCAACTCCCCAGTATTATCAGATAAAATTTGGGCAATGCTATATTGAGAGATCAAAAGTGAAGCGTATTAGACAAATAAAAGAATTAACTCAATTCTCATTCAACTAAAAATAAGGATTATGATGAGGAAACGCTTACGTTAACGGCGGGAGGAGGAAGGTCTAAAAAGAGGCGTATGCTATTTGATACGCCTCTGTAACACAGACGTATTGTGTTGAATTTTCGTGTAACCGCCCGTCCTGCCCGATATAGCTCGTGGTAAACTCGACGACAAAGACATCGTGAATATCGTAAGTAGTTATTTGGCGGGGTATTAACGAGCGCCCGCACCTGGAGCAACGGCAAATTGGAACTGCGGAGGGTTGTCTTCGGGCGGCAATTTGACCAATTTGCCGTATTCTGTGGCTTCTTAGAACTCGGGACGTCCCACCAATTCTTGGCATGCCGTAATAAAAATTTTATTTTTTAAAAAAAAAAAAAGGTTGTATTGAAAATTGGAGAGTTCTTTGGGTTTTCTTGGTGCTTTGTCGTTACATGTCGTTTATTTTATACGTTTTGTGGTGGGTGGCACAGTTCTCGGATACTTCTATTTACAAACGGTAGCGTACTAAACATTTGTGTATAAAATCTTCTTTAATTTAAACAGTCTCCTTTTAGAGTAGTAAATGGTATGGGCCTTACGTACAGAAAAAAAATACACTTTAATAATAACACTGTTAATAAAAGTAATACAAGTGGTATTATATTAGCGACCATTTCTCAAGCATGGCGTTGGAAATTGTAACGTTAAATCCGTGCGTAGAAAACTCTGTCATAAGAACGCAAGTGTGACAACCATGATTGCTATTAAAAGCGTCTAGTTGATAAAAGTTTTCAATGTGCACGGTTATGCTAGATGACGTATAATATAAACGTGCTACTGTATATGCGAACAATTGTTAAAATGGCCAACTTTTAATACAAATGCAATAAAGAATCTGCATACCGTATTGTTAAAAAAATTTTTATTAGCAGGTTTCCATATCACTCTTCACTCTAAGAGAGCCAATAATTGTCAAGCATGTAAGTTACTATTTTTTATTTTCCATATTCATGGTAAAGTGGTGGACTTTTCTTGGTATGCTGATAAGATTTTGGGCAGGGAGGAGATAATCCGTTAAATAAATTATTTAGCTTACAATAATACATTTTATACAACTATTATCAAACATTACAAGGTAATTTTAAATAAACAAAATAGCAATGCCCAATTTACAATAGAACGCAGGGTTTTTTAAGTTGCATATTTAACATACAGTCGGCGCTGACCACATCGCATCCCCTTAATGTTTGATTTTGTTTGGTTTGTGAAATAGAAGCACACGTCTCTGGTGCGAAGGCTGATTCGTGAAACAATTGCGGATTAATTGCCTGAGGGTGGTTTGATTATAATTATTGCATCCTAGTACCAGGATCTAGCATCTAGTGTAGTTTCAATCAGCTAATGTGAATTCTAGTATTTTAATATCTGATGACAAAGGTTCTGCAACAATTTGTTTCTTTTTGATATCTTTGTTCGTTTTCCGACTTTTTTTTTTTTTGACCTGCTGGACCCGCACTTTTGAGTACGATAGTTGAATACGTAACATGTATAATTGTCTTGTAAAATTTACTGGTTACTTTAACGTTTATGGGGTCATCCCGTGTGTAACAAATAGGAGACGTCGGCTGATGCTTGGTGCGCATGATCGACAGACTTTCAGGGGCATGTCAACTCTTTGCTGAGCCGACAACGGTTATAAGCGTACAATGGACGAATTCATTCTTCAATGAAACAATTCGCACTCATCAATACTTTAAATAGAATTAGTTCGTTTGCGATATCAAATAAATTTACGTGTGTTATTTACCAAATATACAAGACCAATATGATTGATGAGTTATTCGTCGTCACAATCGACGACCGATTGATAGACAGATGGATTGATTGATGGATTGTAGCAATTGACACGGATCAGTATACAGTAACGTTTCACGGTTTGAATCGATCGGAACAAATGAAAAATTGTTCTACCGCCCAAAAGGTCAGAAGGCGTCTATGAAAAGTCTTACTTCGCTTGTAACAAAGCATACAGTATAACTATTTATTTAACAGTATGTTTCTTTGTTATCTGAACAAAGTATTGCTGAAGTGAAACTTTAATTTGCTAATAGATTGTCAAGTCAACAACTTATTACTATTGTTAAAGAGGCAACTACTGTATTTACAAAAATATGGTTGATAAACGGTATTTAACATGCATGTTGAACAATAACTTCTCCTTAACCTTATTATTACGTGCGTGTGAATTAATATCAAGTTGCATGCTGCAAGATATGTGGATCAATTATGAATTGATTAATTAATATTGACTTTTATAGTGCCAATTTTTGATTTTCTGGATTTGTGAATTAATTGTTTAGGCTTCTGATGGGAATGATTTCTTTATCCAAACCTTATCCGAGCAAAAGTTTCTTAGAATAAACGACATACTGCATAAAGTTACAAAGATAAGGTTTCCTAATAGTGAACCAAAAATATTCTTACATATATGATTATTTATTAACCAATTAATGTCTTTTATAAGGCGCTGGACGAGAATTTTACGAAATAGTTATCACAAATTTAATACTTAAACTACACTTGTAATAACAGCTCACAAAGTCGTTATATTGCTTTTCGTAATTAGGTTTATTGCGCTTCCGTCGAATAATGTTATTTTGATTGGTTGACTAAACAATAAAGTCACACACATTATCTGTTCGAGTCCATTGATTACTAGATTAGAAATCACGCCCTACCTTAACGTTCTACCCTCCAGTCCATAAATTATTATCTATGCAAAATAGATCATATATGGAATAACCTAATTATTTATTTAACTCGTCCAAAAATCGAAGAGTATTGACTCGAAACGTCATATGATCCTGTCCGACCGTAAACGTTGCAGTTGTACGTACAAAGTATGTCTTTCTTGTCTTTATTTTTCCGTCTTTAGTATAATTACATTAGTATTAGTATTACGTATGTTTATCTGCCGGTTTATTGTAACAGCACTTTGATTGTGCCGATAGACCCGTGGCTATAAGCCACACAACCACGATGCAATAATTGATACAAACGTAACTAGAATTGGCATCCGATTATTATTGTTATGTAATGATAATAATACCGTGTTAATATTAAACATACATTTGTATAAAGGACAAAGTATTGATTTTTTTTGTTTGATCGAGTTGTTTGATCAGCCTTCGATTAATACAAGTAATTGTGCGTCCAATTATAATAATCAATGTTGTTTGAACTGCCGTTATTTTAACTTACATCGTCTGCGCGGCTTACAGTCATGGGTTTGCTAAGTTGTTAGTAATCAAGTTGTTAAACTGCAGATAAACAATACATTATATGCGTACATTAACGATCGTGGTATTTGTACCGTTTGTAAGACGCAAGTTTGTTATATTTTGCATGCATCAATTGACGATGTAAATTATACGTGTTATATGGTCTTTCTTTATTGATTGTTTTCCTCACTTTGAGTCGCCTAATAAACTTAAAAGGAAAATAAAACCAATAAAGGTAAAATGAAAATGAAAATTAAATGAAAATGACATGAATATGAATAAAATGAATACATTAAAACAAAAACAAAATTAAAATAAAATAAAACCAAGAATAAGAATAAGAATAAACCGAAAAATATTATCTCAGAGAAAGTAAATAAACAAATGACGGTTGTCCCGTTCGGAAGATTTCATTGTGGCGTTGTATGATATCACCGGTGGAAGCCTGCGAGAAAGCTAGGTATGCGTAGAAAGCTAGGTATGCGGTATGCGTAGAAAGCCAGGTATGCGTAGAAAGCCAGGTAAAATGCGTTGAAAGCTAGAAAGACAAGTGGTAAGTATACAGATAACACATCCAATTTATTTACACTAGTTCATAACATACCGATATATCGTAGCGGTAATACGAATTTAATACGTATAACAACAAGTAGAGGCAAGGGGGGTTTTGGCGAGGATCCTCGGTCGAAAAGTAAAAGATGGTCGTTAAAGGCGAGACGTGGTATTCGATTTGTACAGCCGCATGGCGAGCATTTAGTTTTATTACACGAACATCGTTGCTGCTTTGGCTCTTTTCAAGATGGGTTCATGTTAAATCAAATTCATAATGGAAAGATGGAACTTTGTTGTCCCTACCGAAGTAGGACAGTTGATTTCTCCACGATGCAAATGCCGCTGCTTTTTATAAGAAACTTTACGAGTACAAGATTCGTACTGTGTATTCTGCTTTATGATATTGGAACTGTTAGATTTAGTGGTCTAGACAAAATACATAAAGTTACGTGACACTCATATTAATGCTTACCTGAGAAATTTTTGGCCCGACCCCGATAGATTTGATATAGGCTGTCTTGTAGTTTTGGGGTTTACACTGCAGATATTAATATCCAATGACCTGTCTAAAAAGAAAACGTTATCGATCGCATCTTCGAATTTACATGGTCCTGTTCTACTAATTGATTGCAGAACATACCATTTTCGATTATCCTTTGGTAGCTATTTAAAATAGAATTTAATGAAGGTTTTGAAACACGAAAGTTTGTTAAACAGGCTTTGTTTTGCTTTTTGCCTTATTCGTTAAAGAATTGATCTTATTTACTTAGTCATCTAAAAATAAAATTAATAAATACCTTTTTTGAACGATCACTTTCAGGGGTAATGTTAATAGTCATCCTAAAATAGATTAATAAAAGGAAAAGCCTAACAAGAATCCCTAGTTTCTATGGCATTCGTCATTCCATTCATTTGTCAGTTTTTTTTTTTTTTTTCACAGGCAAGTACGTTATCAGTTAGCGAAACTAATTTGCAGCTCGTAGAGCAGGTTTGTTGAAGGCTTCCTTGTTTACCTCAACATAAACAATCGAATCGGACAAGAATTTTAAGTTCTAGAATGGAATATTTCATTTGTCAACTTGGTCGAACAAAAATAGGAATCTCTGATCAGGTACATCAATGGAGTAACGGTAATAATTTTATGTACCACATCTTCACGGAACGGGAAAAATTTCGTAATGACGAAAGATATGCAATATGCGGTCTGTATTTCGGATTATATCACTGTCCATAGCAATTGCACACATTTTTGTCCGTATTTTTGCAGAAAGCTATTTGTTGTTGTAGAACGTATATAAAGTTGAAGAGCCGAACATAATACTCTTGATTAGACAAACCGAACTATAATTACTTTGATTAGATATGGGTGTTGATCTTCAGTGTCGGCATGGATGGGATCTTGTGTCGGTGGATACGACGCGTCTTCTCGATGGCCGCAGGTACAGTCTAATGCATCTATTCTATTCTTTTAGCATTGACGGCCGTTGGCGTGGTTGGATTGGGTATTGTGGAGAGAAGGTAGTTGACGGGAAGCCTGTCGGTAAAGGTCCAGGAACGAAAAGCTGAGCAGTTTAGAAGGTCGCTTAGGCGCATGCGAACCTTGGACTATAATATGGTAAAATTTTCGTGAGACAATTCATAACAATGGCGAGTGGATTGATTGAATAACAATGCAGACAACACATACCACTAAATGAGGATGTCCTTTTTTTCTCCGAAGGATGTCATAACGGTTTCAACTATTTCTGTTGATTACCCCAATGTTTTGACAACATAGCGACTGATAGAACTTGTGGTAAACTACCCAAAGTTTGGAAAGTAGAAAGCTTCTAGATCTAAAGATCCAATAATGATTAACAATTGTTAATAATGTTACATAGAATATTCGTATGAATAGATGCGAGGCATCACGATATTCCTCCACCCAATTCGAACTAACCTCAACGTTCCGTCAATCCTCAATACCACAGTCCAAAGGTCGCCCTAGTCTCGTCTTCTATAACCCCACTAACATTACGTTCGGTCACTTCTCTTTCTCCTTTGACCTCGCTCTCCCTCCTCCCTCCTATTTCTCTACTTGCATTTTCATAATTTCATTTTCTTCATCCTTTTCCTCCCTCTGCAAGGGTTCATTTTCTCTGCTTTTGCCTATAATTATATCTTCTGCATATGCAGTTATCTCTATACAATTCATTGTCCATGTCACCGTCCAAATCACGCGACTTTTGTAGGTTTGAAGTTGTTTCCACGAGAAATCCGAGTAAAATCTTTGTGCTCCGACTCGTCACTGGTACAAGCAACACGAGATTACTGGTGTTGAGACTATGAGAAATCAATCAGTATGGAAACAAAATAGAAGAATGTTTCGTCAGTGCATGCTATTAAAATTGCTCTTCATGGCATCAAGACCATTACCTGTGTCTGGCATATTTGTACGCACGCTTGAATGACTACAAGTTGGTATTGGGCCTCACATTGGTATTACTTGTCAATTTGCAGAACGCAACCTTGCTGAAGCATCATAACTTAATCGACTATCTCCATAAAATAATATATGGGATCAACAACATGTGCACTGACCATGACTGCATTTTCAGCATCATTACTGAATGGCATTGTTTGAATGAGTCGAAACCATCTATAAAAACGGACAGAAAACATTAAGACAATATGCAAAGCTTTTTGGGAAGCGTATAACTGAATAATCACCAGCATTAAGAGACCGATCCCATTGGGCATACACTTGTTTACTGTACAGTTCCGGTTGGACGGTATGAAACATTTTCTCTCTAATTTGGCGATGTCCTCGTCATCAATTATTTTTTGTATCGAGTTTTTGAACACCTGTCATAAGCCCCTACAAATAATAATCAATGATAAATGCAAACTCTTTCATCATTTTCGCATCTCATACCATCTACTGGACATATCGACCCAGCACACATATGAATAAAGTTGGTACCTGGTATGCTGATCAATTACACGAATTGTAGCCAAGAGTTAGGGCGCAGCATTTATACGTGGCTTAGGTTGATTGTCTTGTTAAGTGCGCGAGAATGCATATATGACTGACAACGTTCGCATTTCTATTGTTCTGTATGGTTGCAGAGTTCGTGTTAAATGTTACATGTGCTGTGTTTAGAATGCATCCCTCTTAATGTTCTGAATAGAAGTGCTGTCGGAGTATCGGAACTGTCTTTATCTACACCTTTATGATACTTATGTAACAGTTCACGGTGGCTGAGTGCATTATAATTAAGTAATTGCATGTGTTAAATGCTATATTTGAACGTCCATTTGATTATCCATCACAGACGCTGTGGTTGGGCCCATCACCGTATTTCTGCAGTGTATGATGTGATGTTTACCATATCTAACAAAAAGGCCTTATCTAAAAGTCTGTCGAGAAAGTATCACGAACGGCATAGGTATTATACATCCGCGATACGCAACCGTCATTAATTGTGTATAAGCTTAGATGCGACGACATACTGACCTTGTATTTCATTATGTAAGGGGTGATTACGTAATGATAACATGAAATAAGGTTTATACTAGAAATGGGAACAGTAATGGTGTACTGCAGAAAGCTCTCAAGTTATAATAAGCGTTTAACTGCTTTTTTGAAAATCGATTAATATCATATCAAAGCATTTGAATAGCTCGTTTGTTCATCACAATAGTATCTATCACTATGGAGTATTATAATTTGCAGTTTATTTATTCATTCATCCATCGTTCATGCATGTATTTATTTTATTTATGTGGTCAATACAATATATTATATTATACCACTTTTAACAACATTCATATAATGAGTGATTTGATTCATCAAGATGCTGGGAATTTCGGGATGGAACTGTAGTCATAATTGAATTGCCAAACAGTGATCATGAGGCACCTAACAGCACGCTCTTTTGGTTGTGTGTTTTGATAATATTCTGGAGTTCGTTCAGCTTGTACTCCAAATCAAACACACGTATACAGACATTAAAGGATTGCTTCCCATCAATTTTTTAAAATTCAAATACTTTATTATAATTTAAGTCCTTTCACTTACGGGCATCAAATGGAAATATTACGCGGAGGTGCTCTGCCGTTGCATTTTCACTCCGGGGGCGGCGGCAGTAAAGAAGAGGTCTCTCTAATCCCGTAAAGCATACGATTGCTTAAACGGATCCAACCAAACGACGAAACTGCACTACGGACGAGAGGTGCAGTTTTTTTCAATCTCAACAAGTATGAATGATCTCAATACAGCATTAGACATCAGTTCTAGCGATGCAATTGCGCTGAGCGCCTTTCCCCAAATCCAACGGTTTGATGACCATTCGTTCGAAATGCTAGGCAGGCCTGGGGAAGATTGAACGAAGACGAAAAACTTGTCTACCATCTGGCGGCAAGTGTGGTGGAAAAGAAGTTTTACGAGGACAATCCGGGTTATGTGTATAACCCAAAAAAAACAATCGGTTGCTCCCAAATTACTATACGTACATAACCCATTTATTATTAGAATAACTTTCAGCGACATCAATCGTGTGAACTACAAGTCATGTACTTGTTTATTATTAATAAAAAAATTTTGTAATGAGAAGACAATGTCTGTGGGAAGGCGGAGGATAGACAAATGACAATAATAGTATACATCAAGAAGATAGAGAGGAAGTTCGAGATTTGATTTTTTGGTTAAGGAATGTTCTATGAAAACCGGATTATTCGGTTATCCGACAACATTAGATAAATTATAGCCATATGGCTATTCGATTGTGGATGCACTGAATAATCATTCGGTTGGGAGTTCGCAAACCGCTTATTTCTGCGAAAAAATAAATAAGCAAAATAAATAAAATCGAATCCGATGGGCCCAAGAGCATTGAGAATGGACAGCAAATTATTTAAAAAAAAAATTGGCCAAGCGTAGACGCGATTTAAAACGCGATAACTTTTCTGTATGTAAACAAACACGTATACAATATAAAACTAGCGTTCTTCTCTTTCATTCCATATAATTTTTGTCGTTATTATCCGCTCTCGCATATCAAAGCTTCAAACAAATGACATTATCAATCTAGAAATACGTCGTAAAACTAATATTACACTATTTAACAACAGTGTGCGCAATGCACAAGAAATTCATAAATTAACCAACATTCCGCTCGCTATCATCTCTTTGCCTCAACAAATAAATTGAGACTATACTAACAACTAATATATTATTTGGATTAAGCAAAATGACTGGTTGTTAGTTGCTTTCAATAATCGTTACATAATATTGTTGTACCTCAGTTGGGGACCTGTCTCGGTTCAGAACCCAGTCATTCAGTCACTCAGTCCAGAACTGAGACAGGCCCCAACTGAGGTACAACAATATTATTTCCGTCTCTTTAATTGTTTACGGAATTTTAGTCAGGAATAAAGACAAGATATTACTATTAACATGGACAACTAGATACGTGTTTGTTAATATACAAATAATGTCAACTGTTCGCTTCTCTCATTACATCACAAATGATCAACCATTTGTATTTGCTACCAAAGTTTTCGCACTAGAACTATCACACACGCCCTCTCTCAAACAGTTTGAATGCAATGAATAAAAAAATGCTTGCAACATCGTCCTTCAAGATTATACGCTAATACTGTCCAACTCGCAATATTCAAAGCATGAAAAAGTTATTTTAAATAATGCCTCCACTGAGTCCAGATAATAAGCGTGAATATGCTAAAAGTTTGTAAGCGAAGCATTGCGAACTAGTAACTGTTTAATAAAAAGTTCATCCTTGCTATATAGGTCGCGACAAAAAATTGTTAATATTTAAGAAAAGAAGAATTAAAGTCAGCGGTGTAAATTGTAATAGTACAATTTTAATCACATGACCATACGTGCTGTTCTTAAGTTGATTTAAATAGTGCTTATTAAAATATCTTTATTGATCATTGTTTGACTTATTGCGAAGATGAATGGGTGCCGCAAATGAGGTCCAGCATATCGTTGCGGATTACAGTCATGGGATAATTATGCTTAATTATTGATGACATGCTACCAATAGTGTCGCTGTCATCAATTGAAAGAACGAAGGAGACGATACTGAAATACACAGGTGATGCTCTTTATATATTATCTGGCTAGTAGACGCTTGATAACTCTGATAACTCTGTCAAGGATTACGATATGTAACACGCATATCCTTCCTCTTTGGCAGAGCCGTTTTCCCATAACAGCAAGCAGGCGTGGTAGCAAAATCAGGGCCTAAACACATTAACGAATCCATGCGACCTGATTATGGACGCTGGCGATTGGAAGTTCTTTGTTGGAGCACGACTTAATGAGTGAATTAGAGAGAGATAATACTCCAAACAATTAGAAGAATAAATTAATATAACTTTATTACAAATTTATATGTAAATAACAACTTATATTCAATCCTTCTTAAGTCATCTAACTGCTGAATCCACAGATTACAATGACTAGTAAATTAGAGATTGTATGATATAGGATATCGGACATGAGGCATACGAAGAGATCATACACATCAGGCGTACGAAGTTTTAGTCGAATCCAGTCTCTCTTAAGGGCTGTGGTTCAAAGGCGATATTGGATCGGGACTGACCCCGGTTGAATTTTCTCTGATTCGAGCATTGATTTGCTTGGTCAATTTCCTCTCTCGTATTTTGAGGCTTCTGTATTCGACTTTCAAATCTTCCATATATTCATATGCTTTTTGATATAGACCCTCTAATTCCTCGGCGCTAACATCTTTACTAAAGTCAAACATGGCTAATGTACTTTGATCGTCTGCCGGTAAATCTTCTATCGGAAGCACCTTGACTGCTCGTTTTTTCTTTGTAATTTTCCTTTTCAATCCAGAAATATCGTCACTATTATCGGATACACTTGTTTCGCGGTGCCGTTTGGGCGACTGTCGCGTGATGGTTGTCCCAGTGCCCGAGGAAGCTGAGACCTCTTCATGATTATTGGTTGCTTGAGGTGGCAGTACCCTCTGTTCAACAACGACTGGTTCATCTATGGACTTCTTTCTCGGTTTTCCAGGGCCGCGCTTCTTCGGAACTGTAAGCATAGCTTCAGTTGATTGTATCGGAACAGTGGATACCGGTGAGACCTCCCTTTGGGATTGGTGTGTCGTATTTATGCTGCTCCATGGCCTACGACCGCGTCTCTCTCTGCGCACTGGTGGTGTGGTGATATCCTCACCCGTAGCATCCCTTGAAATGTCCATGTTAGCCGTGTCTTGTAAGGGAAAATGCCAAGCAATTGAAGAAAGAAAGCAAGATTCTTCCGGTGGCCCGAATGTTGAGTGAATGTCCTATTATGTTGTTATTTGTGCTACGGTAACGTAACGGCACTCCTCGTGACGAATAAGCATACGAAAATCTTTTGTTTAACTAGTGTCTGTTTGTTGATGTGATTCAAAAAATTGGAGTGGAAATCTGATACTCTCAGTCTGTTGGCTCTGCTTTCGTCAAATTTTCATCTCTATCATTATTTTCCTCTGATTGATGTAACTGCAGACTACTCTCTTCATGGTCAAATGTGATGCGACTTTTATGCTCTGAAATGTAATGTGATATTCATACAAGCGTAATTGGGTTTCAATATCATTAGCATCATTGTTCATTTCGTGTATTGGATCTACATTTTTAGGATAATGAGATATTCGGTTGAAAGAAAAGTTGCGTGAATTGCTTTGAGATGTTCGTCAAGATCCTGCCGGATGCATCCAATAATCCCATTTAAATTCGGCTGGTGGTTCTTCATTCTGGAGACATTCCGGTGCTCTTATTACTGCAAGATGATTTATGAACTGTGTTCCATACTCCTATCCATATCATATAAATGGCTCTTTGTTTGGATCAAAGATCTTCATATCTCTGTGAGTGGCGGTTCCACCGGGGCACTTAGCTCAAAAGAGACGTCAAGTAGTCGTGCAGGTATTACGCTCAGCAAGGCCGCTAGGCCAGTGCATAGCCTACTGTCTTTTTATGCAATTCAATCTTGTTCAATAACCCGAAAACTTTGGTAATCAATCCAGTCAGCAGTCCTGGAATTGAAACCCCAAGCACTAACTGGCTGCTATCTGCACCGAATAACTTGGATGTTCACCAAGGATGTATTGCGGGCGTTGGATACTATGTCGAGAAGTAAGTGTTTTATGATTGAGGTGTAGTTATTTTCTACGTATTTCGTTCCCAATTGAATAAACAGCCCGGCATGCTATTCATTAATGACACCCGTTATCTCTCGCGTCGTTTCCTTCTTATTATACCATCCCAACAAAATCTAAGCTTTCTCTTCTTCTGTGTTGCCTACATTTACGTCTTCATTATCTTCAGCTTGTCCTTGCATTCCTTGTTTTTGGAATGGTTTAGATTTTAACATTGACGTGGATGCCATAAAGACTGAATTTGGTTGAGTCTGAACGAGGAGTGTTGAAATAAACGATGCGGCTGTTCGACGAACGGTTGGGTTAGCGGATCAGGAGTTTTGAACACTGACATGGTACCAATACCGAATACTCCCGCAGCCCCCTCTACATTTCTAAACGGATTCAATCTCCCTCTCATTGCCTTTATTGTCAGCATGGATGGGGTCTCGTAGTGGGACGAGAGAAACAGAGCCAATAAGAAAGACCTGGTGGAGTTAGCCCGAAAGCCGACCGAGAAATTGAATTAAAAAAGACATTGATCAGATTAAACACCTATCGAATTAGTTGTAGAAGAAAGTAGTTGGCGGCAAGTGTGTGTCGAAAGAGGTCCGGAACGAAAAGAATGTCTCCTAAGCGTGGATTATAATATTGGCGAAGTTCCGTGAGCCGTAGCAATGACGGAATAGAT